GATCGGAACTATTTTAGGTACCTCTTTGGAATGATCACACACTCATTGGGGACAGCATTTTGACTCGTTATTTTTCTCAAGTTGAGCCATCCAAGGAACTCCCAAATGGCCCGTATTCCGAGAATCACCCTAATGGTTGGTTCAACACGTTACCATGTAGAGGAAACTCCTGCTTGTTCTTCCTGAATAACTTGTTGGGGCTAAACTTCTGGCTCAATGGAACTTTTTGCGTTATCATGTCTGGTTTGATTGCTTAAGGATTTCCTACTGTTAACATGAAACAAATGAGTTTTACTCTCTAAGTGATCAATTGCTCAACAACATGAAAAGGGAAATTAGTGATTATATATTTACATATCCCGCCTGATTCTCTGGATCATCAGCTAGATATTTCTATTTTTTAATAAGGGCCTCAGACACTATATCGTATTTATCTGATTTTGGGTATGCACCTACTCCAATTTTACTAGAAACATGGAATATGATGCTCATCAGAAGTTCAGACATTTTATAATTGTTGTTTTCTAAATCCACATTTAATTTTGCCGAAAACTTTGGAAGAGCATTCAGTTTTGTCAAGTCTTGGCCATAGCCTCTCGGTTTCTGCAAAGAAATAGAAAGGTATAATTATGGAACTTCTGTTGCAAAAATAAAACCTCTAAAAAAGTTTCAGATTTGTTTGCAGACCGGTATATATGGTCTCCTTTTCTTCTTCTGGGGTGGGGACATATTCTCCTACATCAGAAAAAAAGGGAGTATATGATAAGAGTGGTACGAATGAAATAGTGGTAGTTCAGATTCTTACTTTATTTCCCTCAGCTGTATGAGTGCTTGTCTCACCAGCTCCATCCTGATGCAGTTGTTGTGTGTCATTATCCTCCTATCCCCGCCGAAATTAAGACAGTATTACAAAGAATGGCACCAATTGTCAAAGAAATTGTGATTAAATTTCTTACACCATCTTTCTCGGCCGTTGAAGTGGTTATTTCATGTGTTCTACCCTCTGCTGCTGAGACATCGTTTTGATCCATTTCATCCTGCAAAATAGAATTTTCTGCTTATCTATGTGCAATTAAAAAAATAAACTAGATGAAGAAATTAAAATACTCTTAAACTTACATCTTCATGAAAAGTTAAAGGTTTCCCTTTCTTTTGTAGGGCTTCAAGTGTCGGGAGGTCAACAGTTTTGGTAAAGTTCCTGCTTTCACCTTCACCTCCTTGGTCTTCGAAAAAGATATCATCATCAGTTTCCTCAATTTCCTCCGAGTATTTAGCTGGATTAGCAACAGTCCTGGATGATTTCCTCTTTGGTAATTGAATAGGAGAATAACAAGAAATGTATTAGTAAACTATGGTATGGTTTTGAAGAAATGGAATTAGATAGTTAAGTTACTGAATTTACTCTGGATGCAGCAGGTTTGACTGCGACTGGAGCTGAACAAGGGCGACGGGCGGATAGCGCAATCTACTAACTAAAGTAAATACGCCTTCGAGACCAATGCGTGGACAAATTATTAAGATCCCGACTACAGCAGACTGCTCTATCCGCCCGTCGCCCTTGTTCAGCTCCAGTCGCAGTCAAACGCGCGTGTGAGCGGGCGAGATGCAGCCGCAGCATCCGTGGAAGCCGAAATAGTGCACAATCCACATGCAGGTCAGTTTTGATTCCTCGACGGCCGGAGGGAAGATAGGTGTTGTGCACCCTAGCGCGGGCACGTGTTCGTCACTATCGTACTCGTGTGTTTCATGTTTTGGGTCGGCGCAGGGCAACGAGGCATCGCCCACAATGTGATGGCGAGCAGGTACGCCGTGCAGACCATCATAAAGCGCCGTGGATTTTACCCGTACATGGTGCACCTCAACCAGCAGCTGCGTGGAGATGACTTTCAGAACCGCCAGCAGTAGGGTGTTTCAAAAAAAATTGATTTTGTCCAGTCGTCGATTTTTAGGTGCGTCTAGGTCGTCTGATTCCAACGCCGTCCCCCTCGTTGTCCTGACATCGTTTACCCACTGCGCAACGCGTTTGAAACTTTCGGCCGCGCCGAGCGCCCCCACCTCCTCGCCCCTTCTCGCGCCACTGTGACGCCGCGGGTACTAGTATCGATATGAAAATTTCAGGGTATGTTCCGAAGGGCTACCTTTAGACAATGGAAGGGTCGCGACTGCGGTGGGCCGCACCCAAACCCGTACACTGTAAAGAAATTGGCTGACTACAAATTGTGAGGGGGGTGGGGGATTGGTCGCAGAAAAAAAAGTATCCCCATGAAGCTTGACCCGTCCCCGAACTCCTCGACCACTCTGGCCACTAAGCGCACTAGATCCGTGGGCGTTAGAGACACTAAACGATCTCGGCCGGCCGAATCGCGCCAGGCGGACGTTTGGATGCGGCGCGCAGCCCAGAGATCTGGCGCGGCTCGGCACGGACCGGCCACCTAGTTCCGCTCGCTCGCGCGCGCCATTTGAAAGCGGCGCGGCGGGAACTACTCGTTGGTGAGCATCGTACGGGTCACATACATTGGACACAGACAGGCTAGCGTCAGGGATTAATATATTTAGGCAGAGGTTAGGTTTCATCTTTTATTCCAGAATTGAAATGTGTCAAGGAAAGGGCATTGGTCTGTTCCTCGGACTTAACTTTCTTTTGAACCTGCAAAAAAATAAAATGCATATAATTCCAGGATATTTATATAGCTGTATTCATTATTTTTAAAATCAAAAAATCTTACCAACCACAGATTTTGAAAATCGCCCTCATCCCTTGTCAACTTTTCATTAAAATGTTTCACTAGAGCAACACCTCTTTCTGCCGTGTCATTTACAACCTGTAGTTTATCCAGAAATTTCTTATTGTCTAGATATGATTTGTCAGTCGGCTATGTCGAAGGGTCTTTGTCCAGAAAACTCTTGTCTAGTGAAAAGGCACTAAAGAACAACATGCTCTCCTCGTTTGCGCAGTCTTCAAGGGTAAGGGACATTAACTTTTTTTGAGTAATTGTTTTGGGTAACATTAGCCGCATGGGAGGACGTCCACCTGCACACTGTGAAAAATATTCAGGTGGTCATAAGAGTCAGTCAGTCGGTCAGTCATCCTAGCGGTAGAGATCTATCGGTACACATACAACTTTATGTCCCAATTTGTCAACAATTGCTCTTTTTGTGTCATCCGCCACTCGTTTGTCGAACAAAGCGAGGGGGACACAGTGTGGGGATGGATACCAGAGATGGTTTTTGAAACTATCTAAAGCAACCTTTGCCACTTTCCTATTCAGGCTTTGGTACTCTGCTATTTTTTTAACAAATTTAAATCAGTGAGTGGTTCAGTAGCAGTGTACCAAGGCTCCAGGTAGTTCACCACATGAAATAAATCAAAATCCCTCACTTTAGTTAAAACTGTATCTGGAATTTGATATTCATCTGCGAAAAAATAATTGGCTGAGCGATTAGCGAAGCCTATTACTCCGTCTGGTCGGAAAAAACTTTTTCTGTCTGTCTGTCTGTGTGTCTGTGTATCTGTCCGCACGAAAACTCGAAAACGAATTGAGCGAGCGACCTGGGATTTTCAGGGTCGTTTTGTATCATACAAAGACAGATCGAGTTCGAAGATGAGCATTCTAGCTCAAAAATTGGATTTTTAGAAAAATCGAAAACATCAGTTCCCAAAAATGACGTTTTTTTTTTTTTTTTAAAAAAAAAATATGGTTTCCTAAAGGGTAACTCATCAAAGTAGAGCCCTACGGGCGAAAATTTTGTCCGTTTTGCTCTAGCTCAAACCGTTGAGGCGCTAGAGGGTGTTTTCGACGAAAATAAGCGAAAAAATGTACAACCCTGCATGTATACTCAAAGTGACGGGCGTTGACGGGCCGGAGGCCTGTATCTTTGTGCACATTTTTGCACTACCTGACTCGGGTGTCAGCGCCGCAGGCCAAGGTAGATGTATGCCAGGCGCGTCTCTGCGTAAGTGTGTTTCGTGAGGTATCGCGAAGCCTGTTACGCGAGACGTGGTCTGGCGTACATCTACCTTGTAATTGGCTGAGCGATTAGCGAAGCCTATTACTCCGTCTGGTCGAAAAAAACTTTGTCTGTCTGTCTGTCTGTCTGCACGTCTGTCTGTCCGCACGATAACTCGAAAACGAGTTGAGCTAGCGACCTGGGATTTTCAGGGTCGTTTTGTACCATTTAAAGACAGGTCGAGTTCGAAAATGAGCATTGTAGCTAAAAAATTGGTTTTTTAAAAAATCAAAAACAACGGGTCCCAAAAATTGCGTTTTTTGAAAACATTTTCTTAGTTTCCTAAGGGGTTACTTATGAAAGTAGAACCCTATGGACGAAAATTTTGTCCGTTTTGCTCTAGCTCACACCGTTGAGGCGCTAGAGGCTGTTTCTCAATGTAGTATTGGGCGCTTTGGCTGTTCCGAGCCAAGTCTGAATGATTACAAGTCAAAGTCAAGTGGAAGTGTGGCGAAGAGCC